GGGGGGCAGGGGGAGGAGGGGGGGAGAAAATGAGTGAGAAAGATGGAGCCGCAGTTTTGTTGCTCCTTCAAACAGATCTTTTTCAAACCTGTGCCGAGCTGAAACAATGTGTACTTTCTACTGGGAACATATGGAACGCTGGGTTCAGAGCAGGAACTCTGGGAACTCCAGACTGAACTTTTTGAACTTTTGAAGAAGAAATTTATATTTTAACTTTTCTTTTTTTTTTTTCCTGCTTCTTGATCTTCGAGGCCGTCTGACTTTTATTGAATTATATTTTCATAACTTGCTGCTTTGGGATTGGTTTATTCATATGAGCGTGTCCTTAGAGCTGACATCACGTGTCGGTGAACGTCCTGGTGGACAAGTGTGAACGCAGCGTCCATGATGTCATGATGTCATCTCCATCACACACACACACACACACACACACAGTCTAATGTGATATTTTCACTGAGGAGCATTAATTAAGGAATCATTTTTGCTCTGAAGAAATGACTCATTTTAATGTTTATTTCCGTGACTTAATTATGTCCTCTCTTTTTTTAGTTGTTAACTTTTCACCCTGCTAACTACAACTAGTTAATTATTGAGCTTGAAAATCTGTTTTCAGACAGTTAATTAGTTAATTAAGTTTGTACATGAGGCCATAACATCAGTCAGGTGATTTTTAATATTTGAATCGACTATTTATAAGGATTTAGAAATGAATTATTCCAGCTACAGATTTACACATTTTAAATTTTTCTCCAGATAAATAAGTTTTGAATCAATCTTTATTTAAATCAGATTTTTTTTTGCTGTTAAACATTCAATTTCCAAACGTCAGTTTCTGAAACCTTGGCTTTCGTTCCTGTTTTTCCACCAAAACTCTCAGTTTTTTTCTGCGGATCTCGACGCCAGTCCTCACCCGTTCTCCCCCCGTGGTCTCATCAGTTTGGGTGAGCACAGCGTCTTCCTCACCATAACGCCTAACGGTCTGGAAAACTCATTTCCATTGTTCACTCTTTGAGGCCACACAGCATCAAATACCAGTGATCCTAATTAACCGGAGGACAAACGAGCGCGGCAGGTTGTTGGTTTATAATTTTATATTTCAGATTCTGACAGAAAGTTGTTGTTGTTGCTGAACCTCAGAGCCGACACCAGCTGAACTGAACCATGTGACACGAGGACGTTATCTGCTGCCTGTTTGTCGGCTGCTTTTCATCCCTGATCTTTGAACCTACCACTGCTCACCCCTCCGTCTCTTCAGCGCACCCTAGGGGTGGTTTGTTCCCTCACGCCGACCTGCGCTCCCTCTAATGAAGATCTCTTCATTCTCCTCGGCTCCCGTCACTACCAGGACTGGAACCACACAGAGACTCCAGCTAATGTAAAGAAGCACTGCAGTAGCCAAGGAGTACATTGTCAAACGCCGACACCCGTCAGATTCTTGACATGAATCTCGTCACGAGTGCTGACACAGTGAAGTACACGCCTTTGTACTGGGTACTGTAGTATTCTACTAGTATCTACTCCGTCCTTTATCTCCTCTCTGTGGAGAGGAAACGCTTCCATCTATCTGTGAAATCATCAGCAGCTGTGCCCCCCCCCACTCTGCTGCCCCCCCCACATTCGTCTCCTGCTCTTTTGTCACACATTTCACGGCTGCGTTTCCGTCCCTCACTTATGTCCAGGTTCTCGCTGTTTCTCCGTGATTGCCTCGCTGGTCACATGACACGCGTGTGTGCGTGTGTGTGCGGTGTCAACTCTCTGACTTAAAGAGAAGAAAACTCTTTGTGTCTTTGTACGTCAGTCAGTTGACACGTGCAGCAGCTCAGACCTGACATTTCCATGGAGCCTGTTCATGTATACCCCCCCCCCTCCTCCTCCCCCC